TAAAGCAAATTGGAGACAATGAGTATAGACTGGTCCTCAAAGTTTGAAGAGAACAGATAGAGTGGTAAGATCAAAAAGGTTTTCTTTGATAGTTTGCTATGCTTATTATAAGGAAGGCACTAAAATCGGTAATCTCAGCACCCAGAGGAGGTGGGAGGCTCAGGAATTCAAGGTCATCTTTGATTATGTAGCAGTAGTAGGCCAGCCTGGCCACCTGAGACTTTGCTCAAAAACCATAAAAACTAAGGGAGAATGGGTGCTGGAAAGAAGGCAGTCAGGGGAACAGTCTCTGGGGAAATACATTTTAGATGGATTCAGTCAGAGTTCTCTCCCTGTTCTGTAACATAGCCAAGGGGCTTTTTTTTTTTTTTTTTTTTTTTTTTTTTTTTTTTGGAGGAAATATATAATATGGTTCAGAGCAGAGAGATGGCTTCGTGGGTACAATGCTTGCTGCCAGGCTTGAAACCCTGTATTCAGTCCTCAAGTCCCACAGGGAGGAAGGATAAAACTGGATTACACAAGTTATCTATCATCTGACATATGTTTCTCTCCCTCATCAGCCTCTCCCCAATAAGTTTAATTTAAAAAAGAAACTATCCCTTGGGTTACAATTTTTTTCCTTTTTGCCCCCCACCCAAGATTTACTTACCTTATGTGTGTGAGTGTTTTGTCTGCATGTATGCATGATCACTGTGGGTGTGCCTGGTGCCCTCAGAGGTCAGAATGGGGGTTGGATCCTCTGGAACTGGAGTTACGATGATTGTGAGTTACCACGTAGGCACTGGGAACTGAACCCAGGGCCTCTCCAAGAGCAACAACTACCCTTGACTGCTGAAGCCTTTCTCCAGTGCCTCCCCCTTTAAAATTATTTATTTTTAATTTTTATTTAACGGGTTTTGTCTGTGTGTATGCACACCACTTGTTTACTTGGTGCCAAAAGAAGGTGTTGGATCCCTTAGGACTGGAGTTACAGATGGCTGTGAGCTGGGTGTTGGGAACTCAACCTGGCATTAGTGCTTGGTACCTTCAGAGGCCAGAAGAAGGTGACAAGTCCCTTGGAACTGGAGCTATAGTCAGTTGTTGGCTGACATGTGCATCCTAAAAATCAAAACTAGGCTTTCTGGAAGAGCAAGTGTTCTTAACTGCTCAGCCATTCCTCCTGCCCTAAGTTATCACATTTATTTAGTAAGGGGCTAGCAGTGTTGTTTGTTGATAAAAGGGTCTGTCTGCTCAGCATATATACCACCCTGAACTCACTTCCCAGCACTGTAAAACAAAACATGAAGGACAAACAAAAACCAAAAACCGTATTGCATTGAATAACCATGAAAGAAGACAAAGCAGGACTGTAAACCAAGGGGAAATAGTTATTTATATGAGATTAATGTATGACAAGTCAGAAACAACATAGTAGTAGAAAAATAAGTTTTTCTGTTTTGTTTTGTTTTTCGAGACAGGTTTTCTCTGTGACTTTGGAGGCTGTCCTGGAACTAGTTCTTGTAGACCAGGCTGATCTCAAACTCAGAGATCCACCTGCCTCTGCCTCCCAAGTGCTGGGAGATCAAACCAGCCTAGAAAAAGTTCTTAGATTTAGGGAAGGCTATATTTAAGTGTCAGCTCTGTAGTTCACTCTGAAAGCCATCTCCTTGCACCCGGGTCCTTGGGCTCTGGATTTACAGCCCCCACAAGTTGTAAATTGAACCCTGGCACACAAAGGGCAAGTGCACTACCACTGAGCTGTACCATGATCTGTTTTCATTTATTAGAAATAAACAAGATGGAGCATCCAAGCTACAATGCACAGTAGGTGCTCTTAACTTTTCACACTGTAGAAAGCAGTCCTGGGGTAATAAAGTGTTTACAACTAGGTTATATTTGTATATTTAAATTTTTCTGAGGTAACAGAAAAGAAGGCAGGGTATATAGTGACAAATAACACCAATATAAATAGAGAAGATTTGGGGTTGGAGGTATAGCCCAATTGGTAGAGTGCTTGCCTTCTATGCATGAGGCCTTGGGTTGAATGCTTAGTATTGAATCTCATACTGGGTATAATGAGTACTCTATTCCTAGCAGGATTTGGGAGGTGGAGGCAAGAGGATCAGAAGTTTAAGTCATCCTTGACTACATAGTAAATTTAAGGTCATCTTGGGCTACATGGGACCAAAAAAAGTAAAGAAAAGAAAAGAAAAAAAAAATAGGAAAGATTTTGTGTTTAAAAAAGGAAAAAAAAAAAAAAGCTTCATTGGTGGTCCTGGGTGGTGGCTGCACATGCCTTTCATCTTAGCACTCGGGAGGCAGAGGCAGTTGGATCTCTTCAAGTTCGAGGCCAACCTGGTCTGCACAGTAAGTTCTAGGATAGCCAAGGCTACACTTAGAAACCCTGTCTTAAACCCCCCCCCCAAGAAAAAAAACCCACCCAACAACAAAAATCATATAAAGTCAATCTAAAAAGAAATTTTAAAATATTTTATGGGAGCTGGAGTGATGGCTCTGTAGTTGAGAACATTGGCTGCTCTTCCAGAGTCCTGGGTTCAAGCCCTGACAACCACATGATGGCTCACAACTGTCTATAGTGAGATCTGATGCCCTCTTCAGGCTCAAAGTTGTACATGTAAATAGAACATTCATATACATAAAATAAGTAAATCTTAAAAAACCAATAGGGAATAAGGAAAAGAGAAGAATCAGATATAAGCATAGGGGAGAAGATCACCAGCAAATTTGTATTTTAAACAGAACAATGGGGATTTTGAGGAGTGGGAATGAAGCTAGACTGTTTTCATTACCCTAGAGACCCCAGAGATGGCAGCTTCAAATTGGCAGATTGTGCACCCCACTTAGTTATATTGCAATTAGCTGCTGACAATACATTTACAGTAGTTACAGCTGACTTTCCACAACTAGGGATAATTCACACATTTCAGTAGATTTAGTTTATATCCTGAAAGACAACATCAGAAAGTAGTTAATATTATACTAGAAAAAGGAAATAGGGTAAAGGGCTGGGATAGCTCACTGGTAAGTGCCTTCTTAGCATACTCCAAGCCCTAGGACCTGATCTCTGGTACTACAGTGAAAGGGGCTGGAGATGTGTATGTGAAGGAAACTATTAGATTAGTAAGAATGTTGGCTGGGACTGTAGCACCACATACATCCAGAAGAGTGCGCCATTTGGTGCTGGGAGAACATTTAGAGTCTGGTTTAATTCCAGGATTTATTTTTATTGCCCCCCCTTTTCCATTTTTTTCTTTCATCTTCTTCCCTTCCTCTCCACACTGACTTCCTCTCCTCCTCCTTTTAAAAGACAGGGCTTCTATCCCAGATGGCTTTGAACTCATGATCCTCCTGTCTCGGCCTCCTCAGTACTAAGGTTATGGGCTTAAGGCACTAGGCCAAACAACTCTTTTTTTTAAACAACTTGTTTGCCTTTTTTTTTTTTTTTTTTTTTTTTTTTTCTTACTAGTTTTTCAGGACAGTTTATCATTGTGTAGCCCTAACTAGCCCGGAACTTAACGTGATCTCTGGGAGTGCTGAGATTACAGGTGTGAGCAACCATACCTGTTTTAATGAGTGCTTTGGAAGAACAACAGGTAGTTTGCAAAATTGAGCACAAAAGGGCTAATTAGACTAAAGTTCAAGGACTGGGGCCGCTTTCAGGAATCCAGGAATAAGAGTGGAAGGCCAACCTCTTCACAAGCACAGTACAGTAGCTCCAACTGCTTTCATTATACCTTTGTTTCTACCCACGACTCATCTGAAAAGGCTGTCATAGATTACTAACTTAGGGGCATAGGGGCAAGGGTTTTGTGATTGGCTGTCCACAGAAACCCTTTTAATCAAGTTAAATAGGTGGAAGTTCCACATTGGATGGGAGATAGTTAGCGTACAGTGTATTTGTTACTTTTTGTTGGTGGTAATGGTGCTGGAGTTACCCAATGCCTCTTGCATGCTAAGGCACCTCTCAAGTGTATCTCCAGCCCTGAACTATTATTAAAAGGCTTATGTGGCTTAGCGGGTAAAGTACTTGCTGCATAAACCTGGCCATGGGGTTTGGTCCCTGGGACTCACAGTTGGAGGAGAGAATAGATCTCCCAGAGTTGTCCTTTCTTTCCGGAGCTCAGTTCACAGTGCTCACACCCAGAAGCTTACATCTACCTGGAACTGTATCTCCATATGGATCTGACACCCTCTTCTGGCTCCATACGTGTACATATACGGGTGTGCACACATACACATAAAAGTTAAACAATTTAAGTCTTAAAAAAGGGCAAGGACTGAAGTGATGGCTTCGTATGTAAGAATATATACTGTTCTAGAGGACCCAGGTTTGATTCCCAGCACCCATATCAGATCTGGAACTCCAGGTCTTTGGAGTCCAACACTCTCTTCTGGTCTCTGTGTGTGCACAAATACACACATGTCCATGTAGTTAAAAATAAAAAACATCTTGGGGGGGGGTTGGAAACTGTTGATGGCTCAGTGGTTAAAAGAACGTGGCTCTTGCATAGAGCCCAGGTTCAGTTTCCAACACCCACACGGTGACTCAGACCCATCTGTAACTCCAGCTTCAGGGGATCCAGTGCCGTCTTCTGGCCTCTGTGGGCACACACATGGTACACGTACATATAGACTTGCAGGCATAACACTCATAAACATAAAATATAAATGAATAAATTGGGGGAGTGCATAAAAAAGCCATGACAGCCCTCCTCACCTGCAAGTCTCTTGTAGGTTAGATATTCCAGCATACCCCATCCCCCCATTCAGATTTTTTAAAATATCTTCATACCCAGCAAATATTGCACTCATAGGTACTGAGTCAGTGCCTACTGGGAAAAGAATCCACAGAGTAAGAAGTTGCAAGGTTGTATTCTACTCCTTTCCCAAGGTAAATATTCACTACAGCATCTCTGTAAAACTTGCTGTCCTGTGGGCTGCCTTGACTTTCTGGCATTTTCACTGTCTCATCTCTCATCTTTTCTCTCTCATGCTCTTAGGTAATTGCTGGCTTTAATCGCCTTCGGCAGGAACAGAGGGGCTTGGCATCCAAAGCAGCTGAGCTGGAGATGGAATTGAATGAGCACAGGTAAGAAAGTTAGAGAAACAATAGAACAATTGGATGGGCCTTTTTGAGGGAGGGTTACAGTCTAGTGGTGCTGAATTTTGAGGTCTTGTTCTCCTACCCTAGCCTAGTGATTGATACACTGAAGGAAGTGGATGAGACCCGCAAGTGCTACCGAATGGTTGGAGGTGTGCTGGTAGAACGGACTGTCAAAGAAGTGCTGCCTGCCTTGGAGGGCAACAAAGAGCAGGTGAACACATATCCGTAGGAGTTGGGTAACCAAGAAGTTAAACAGGGGTGACCAGGGATTCAGGGAATGTGCGGGAGGAAAGTCCAGGCAGAAATTCATGTCGAAGATAGTATACAGTCTGTGCACTTTATACAATTACAGAGTCCAACTCCTTACACGAGTTGTTGGCTGTGTGCCCTTTCCATAGTCTCTTTGATGTGGGTGAGCTGGGAGGAGGATGGGTAGAGCAGTGTTTCTCACAGTGTAGTCCATGGATACCTGAACTAAAATCCCCTGAAGAACTAGTTTAACAGTGCTGCAGATCAAATCCAGGGCCTTATGCATAATGGGCTAAGAACTCTGCCACTGAGCTACTCCTCCAGCCAAGAATCAGTTTAAAAATGCAACTTCTCAGGCTTTCTTTGGATAACTGAACCAGACCCTTAAAGATAGCATAAGTGACATTTTAAAAGGAGAAAGAGTACTGATGACTGGGTGGCATACATTGGTGATTAACTTGCTATGATGAGTCAGGGGAATCTTGGGTTTGAAGCCAACCCCAGCTAGCTATAAATCAGTAAGTTTAAAAAAAAAAAAAAAAAAGTATGTGATGTAAAAGAAGAAACCTTAGTATTATGAATGCTATTTTAAAAACAAGCAGCTCACCCTCCCTGGGTAGTTGTTAATTGAAGGTTGCTTGGGGCAGGGGATGGTCATTGTCTTCAGTGATACAGCCCCTGTAAGTTGCTCATCCTCCAATAGATAGCTCCAGACCCATGCCCACAAGGATGGTCCTAGTTAAATTCAGTGGGTCACAAAACAAAACAGATATGATTATGAGATGGGGGGGGGCTCATGGGAGATGTGGATAAAAGAGTGTGGTCAGAATATATTACATAACATTTATGGAATTGTCAAAATAAATAACAGAAGTAGCTCAGATGATTCCCTTGTATACGACACTGTGTTTGAGAAATCACTTGAGAATCTGGGCTGTTATTCTTGGCTAAAGGTGAGGTTAAGTATTATCTTGTTTCACTTCCTCTAATCATAGACCATTCCAGCTTGGGGAAGGGAGACGAGCAGTCCTTTATAACCACTTTTCTTTACCTTCTAGATACAGAAGATCATTGAGACACTGTCACAGCAGCTTCAGGCAAAGGGGAAAGAACTTAATGAATTTCGGGAAAAGCACAACATTCGTCTTATGGGAGAAGATGAGAAGCCAGCAGCCAAGGAAAACTCAGAAGGGGCTGGGACTAAGTCCAGCTCAGCAGGAGTGCTGGTCTCTTAGGAACTAAAGCCTCTGCATTTTTTTTTAACCCTGATTCCCACTTCTAATTTCTTTTTATTGTTGTTGTTGTTATTATTATTTTCTCTGCTATTGTAACATTTTTTTGTTAATTAAATGTTTTGGTCAGAATGCTTAGCTGAAGCTTGAAACTTTCTCTCGTTTAGGGCCAGCCATATTAAGGGCAAAAGATAACAAACAGCTGGGCATGGTGGCACACATGCCTTGATTTTAGTGCTTGGGCTACAAGAGGCAGATCTGAGTTCCAGCCAGGCTGGTCTACATAATGAGTCCCAGGCCATCTAAGGCTACATAGTGAGACCATGTTTCAAACAAAACAAAAAAAGAATATATGATTTGCAGGTTTTGTTTCTGCCAGGTCAGTGGCTCCCAGTATTAGAAAGGCTTATACTTTGGCCTTTCCCTTGCAAGTAAAGCTGTCTACTTACTAACTGCCCTCCTAAAATGAACTCAGAGACAAAATGTTGATTCTCAGACTGGAATTTAATAAGTATTTGAAGTGGGGCAGTAGCTCTAATGAGAACGCTGTATGGGTTTGCCACAACATAGAGGCTTGGCCATGTGCCTTTCTGCTGTTCTTTAGACGAAGAGTTCCAGGATGCAAACCTGTGGGCTAGCTGTCCTGCCATCCTCACCAAAACCCCCAACCAAATAAAGCTGGTCATTCCAAAGGCAAGTGCGATGGCCCACACGCTTCAGTCGGCGGTCTGTGGAGGGGAAGTGGAACCACAAGGGCGGAGATTTGCCTGTTGGGTGGAGAGTAGAGGGTAGTTATTGAGAGGGGATGCTTGCCTGTTATTTTCCCCCTCATTTGATTCATTGGCCTTTTCAAATATTGTCTATTTTGTTTTTTGTTTCTTGAAACAGGGTTTCACTATGCTACCCTGGCTGGTCTCAAACTTTATGTAGACCAGGCTGGAAACTCCCAGAGATCCACCTGCTTCTGCCTCCCAAGTGCTGGGATTAAAGGTGTGAACCACCATGCCTGGCTCTATTTTTTGTTTGTTTATATGTTTTCACAAGGTTTCTCTGTGTAGCCCTGGCTGACCTGGAACTCACTATATTGGAACAGGCTTTCTTTTGGGCCACCAGCCAGCTCTCAAATAAAAACATGGAGACTTATTATTAGTTATGAATGCTCAGCCTTATCTTATGCTTGTCTCATTAGTTCTTATAATTTAAATTATCCTGTTTCTCTTCACCTATATTTTGCCTTGGGCCTTTTTGCCTTTCTTTCATTATATGTGTCCTGCTCAGTATCTGCTGGCAGCTGTACGGTTGGCCCCAAGCATCTCCCTCTCCTTCTCCATCATTTTCTTCCCTCTCTACACTAGATTCCTATTATTCTCTCTGCCAGCAGCCCCACCTATACCCCTCTTTGTCTAGCTATTGGCCATTCAACTTTTTATTAACCAATCAGGTACCTTACACGGTCAAAGCAACACATCTTTACATCGTTGAACAAGTGCAGCATAAACAAATGTAACACATCCCTGCCAGGTAAAGTAATAGTCAACAACACTATATAGACCAGGCTGGCTTTGAACTCATGTAGATATGCCTGCCTTCTGCCTCCCAGGTGCTGAGGTAAAAGATGAGAGCAACCATACCTGGCTCTGTGTATTTTGTTTGATGGTTTAGGTTCTGAGCTATCTTTCTGATCCTCTATTGCATTTCTTGAACTTTTGTTGTTTTAGACAGGGTCTCTATGTAGCTGTGGCTGTCCTGGAACTCATTATGTAGACCAGACTGGCCTTGAACTCAGACATCCTCCATCCTGTCTCCCGAGTGCTAGGAGATTAAAGGCATGCACCACCAATGCTCAGCTGCATTTCTTTTAACACTGGTCAGCTAATTTGTCCTCTACCACTCCATGTTTTCATAGGTTTCAGGTTCTCATGTCTTTCCCTCTCCCCTTCCCCCCAAATGTTAGTCTGGCTCTCACGGGTATCGTAAATGTAGAGGTCATTGCAGATCGTGTCTCTAGCTCTGGTCAGAGTCTCACCACCAAACAGTACAGCAAAAGGTCCCACCACCGAACAGGAATGATGTCGCAGGCTCTGGGGTCCCTGCTGCAACCCCTGCCCACTGCTCACAAGCCTTGCAAGCTGTTCCATCAAACGAGGGGCAACAGGTGGTTCCTCCTTTGGGAAGAAAAAGGGGATTGTCTGAAGGGTTTGCTCATCTAATTTTAGTTCCTTTCTACTATGAAATGGTGAATACCTTAATTTTCCCATGGCTCCATTGCCCTGCTACTTCGGGTTCAACTGAGTTGCAGCCCCCAAAAAGCAATAGCTGATGACCCTGGTGCGGTCCAGCCATTGGCAGCAGGGCAGCACAGTGACCTGATCGTGAGATGGTGTGGTAGCTTTCTTCCTTGTAGCTGTTGGTACAGAAATTCGGACAAAGTTGGGTTTTCTGAAAAGATTCAAATGTTTTACCACTTTGCCAGAATGAGAAAATCAGGCTTGGACCAGATTTAAGTCATCTTGGAAATTGTAGATTCCAAGATGGGAGGTGCTGGGGTGAGGACAAGAATCAATTAACAGTAAGTTTAAGTTTTGTTTTTCTAGAGTATAGAGAAGACAAACGTTTGGGGCAAAGGTTGCTTGCTGTACCAATAAGTGCGCGTACTGTGGTCCAACTTTAACGTGTAGATGCTTCCATAGCGTCGCTGAGTGCGGGTACCACCCTCTCTGCCAGACACTAGTAGCTCTCGGTCTGAGACGCGTGTGCAAGTGTGACTGCTAAGGCCAGCAGGAGGGCAGTTGCCACGGTTCGCAGTCCATACCTCCCAAACTCCACTCTCCGTGTCCAGAGCGGCCACCGTGGCTAAGCGATGTGACCCGTCCCAGCCACCCACAACGCATAGCCAACGTCCTCCCACCAGTGCCGCATCGTGGTGACTGCGAATGGGACTGCCCCCGGCTGGCAGTCGTACTGCTTGGCCCCCAGTTGGGTCAAAGATCACAGTATCACTGCTGGGCACTCTTGCACCACCTTCTAGGAGACCCCCTACCAGATAGAACCGTCCCCGCAGTTCGGTGCATGAATGGAAGGCACGAGCCAGAAGCGCATCTCGTGCCACTGGCCGCCAAGTCCAGGCCGAGCCCGTGGCCCGACCCGAGGATTCCGCCTCAGCCATGGGCCCAGCAGAGGGGAGAGCAGTTGGGTCGCTTTAGGTTACACCCCTTCACGCTGGGGCCCAGCACTTCCCTTCAGACTCTTCCCCTCCAAGAAGAAACCAGGTCCTTACATCCCTTCTCTCTACTGCTGTCGCCTAGCAACCACTGCGGAGACTGCAGCGCGACTGCTGCAAACCGAAGGTCGCAAAGCGCCTTGTTACCTTGGAAACAGGAGATCTGGTGTGCTACCATGATCTTACAGTGATGTTGCCAGGACAACGAGATGTGTGGGGGGGGGGGACCCAGTAAATAGCCTAAAAGACTTGGGCTCAAAAAGACTGGGAGCTGACAGTTCCTTTGAAGAACCCAATAGTGGCAAATTAGCTTGTGGTTATGACATTTGAGGTGCAGGTGTTGGGGGAGAAGGACGGGTCATGCCCTCCTCCCCTCGCTTCAGGAATTCCAACTTGGAATTCCCTCTAGGGATGAAGTAGGAAAGAAACAGGTCACAGGGCAGAGGTTGAGGGGATGAAAGTGGGCTAAGTGACTTGGGGGGGGGGTCAGAGATTTGGGTAGACTTCACCCAGCATTCCCATTTATGTAACTGTGGTAAAGTCCTTAAAGATAAAGATTGGGTGGAGAGTCTTCATCTCTGGCCACTAGAGGGAAGTAGAATCAAGTCTCCGAGAGAAGAGGAGAGAGGAGAGAGGAGAGAAAGGTGGTGGGGGGGGGTGTAGAGAGAGATAGACAGGGAAAGAAAAGAGGCTTGGGGAGGAGATGAGTTAGTGTGTGAAGTGGGTGGGGGAAAATAGCATAGGCATATCTTGGACAATTTTTCACTACTGAGTCCTGGGAAGAATAATTGTTTTATCTTGCCTCTTTAGAATCATATAACACATGGAAAGCCAGGCACTGTGGAACTCAGGATTAAGGAAGGGCAGGGAGTTTCTCCTGATAGGAACCTATGGGTGGGGGTGAGAGGAGGAGGAGAGCCGCCCCTGCCGCTCCCTGCTCTCTTCCTTTTATTCAAGCTGTATTACTGAAGGCATTAACGCTGTCCCCACAGGACCCAATGCAGAATGAAGAGGCTCAGATCAAGGCTGACTGACTGGTTTCAGCTGTAGAAGGAAATCATACAGATTTCTACTCCTAACCCAGTTGGGGAGGAGCAGAAATGTATCTGTGTCCCCCAGGCTGGGCTTTAAGTGGGAAAGACAGCGTGACTTTAGCCTTTGGTTTCCAAACATGAACTTGCTCCCCCATTAGCTTGAGAAATCCAGGCCACAGAGAGTGTCCAAGATTCAGTGGGAATGGCCATGTGATCCAGGGGACCAGGAGCACACTGGGCATCTCCCCTCCTCCCAATTAGATCTTGAGAGAAAACTACCTGGGGAGGGCATGCACAGGAAGACACGGTCATAGACTAGATGATTACCAGGACTCACTGCTGGTTTCTTCCTCCCTCCCTTTTTAAAAATTTGTGGTACTGAGAAGCGAATCTAGCGTGCTTCTAGGCAAACACTCTACTACTTTGATGCTTTGATGTCTCTCCAGCCCATTTTTTTTTTTTTAAACTTTGTATTAGGGTCTTGATAAGTTTCCCAGGATGGCCTTGAACTCATTTTGCAGCCCAGGTACTCTTTGTCTCAACCTCCTGAGTAGCTAAGATCACAGGCCTGCCCACCAGTGCTCTTAACCTCTAAGCCATCTCTCCACCCTCTCCTGATTATTCTAAACCAAGTCCATATCTTGGAGGAAGCAGGAAAGAAGGCAGGAAAAGGGAGGACTGGCAGGAGGAAGTGGGCACAAGCCAGCCTGCATTTTGTATGACATGTACTTGAGAATGACACCTCAGGTGTTCTGTGCTGTCCAGTCTGAGATGTCTGTTCCAGCTCTAAACCTAAGCCTGGACTTAAATCTTTATAGCATTCTTTATCTTCTCCCTGCCTTACCCCTATGCTCATTTCCTCTTTGACACAGGGTATTCCTAAGTACCCCAGGCAGACCTTAAACTCACAACAATCCTGCCTTAGCCTAGTGACAGATGAGGCAGCCTGGAGGATGCAGAAGGGTACTGCAGGAGTCCTGTGAATGGTCTGAGTATTGACACTCCCATCTGTCAGGCCTTCTCTCTAGCTTGTCCTCTATTGTCCCTGACCTGTCTACATTTTTCCTGCAGCCCATTCTGGCCACTTGACTTCCATGGCCTTATGCTAGCCTGGCACGAAGCTGTGTTCTTAGCTCAAAGACAAAAAGGACATGGACAAACGAGATCAGAGGAATGGCCAGGAAAATAAATTGTGTGAGGCCAGAGCTTGAGAGCTTCTTTAATTGGACATGAGCTAGAAAGAATCTGAGAGAAGCCAGACAGTGGTGGCCCACACCTTTAATCCTAGTGCTCGATAGGCAGAGGCAGGTGGGTCTCTGAGTTTGAGGCCAGCCTGGTCTATAGAGTGACTTCCAGTAGAGCCAGGGTTACACAGAGAAACCTTGCCAAAACAAGAAAACAAAACAAAAAGAAGAGAGAGAGAGAAAGATAAAATTGTAAGCATATTTAGGATGGAGGAGAGTGGGGATCAGGCAAGTTAGAGAATAATGAAGAAAGGGTAATGGGGAGAAAAACTTGTGGGATTTTTGTTTTGTTTTTGTTTGTTTGTTTGTTTTCCAAGACAGGGTTTCTTTGTATTGCTTTGGAACCTGTCCTGGAACTAGCTCTGTAGACCAGACTGGCCTTGAACTCACAGAGATCACCTGCCTCTGCCTCCCAAGTGGAAACTTGTATTCTTGAGGAAAGCAATGTCTAACAAGAGAGCATTACCAGTCACTGAGTATGAAAACTGAGAGCAAACATTATGAGTGATTAATAAATCTCACTGGTGGGCAGTAGCCATCCAGAATTTTCTCTTAATGGCTGTCTCTTATTCAGATTTAGTCTCTGAATTTCCTCTCTAGGAGCTGGTAAGATAGCTATATAGGAAAAGGTGAGTGCTTGCAGCTAAGCCTGATGAGCTGTGTTTGATACTCCAGCCCCACGTGACAGGAGAGAACTTACTTCTGCAAGCTGTCTTCTGATCTCTGCATGAGGGTCATTGTACGAAGCATCCCCACCCCACTCCCACAACCCTCACAAGGAAAAAATGTAATTTCCATTATTTAGTTATTGTCTATCTTTTGCTTTTCTGTTTGTTTTGTTTTTCCAGATAGGGTTTCCCTTTGCAGCTTTAGCCATCCTGGGACTTGATTTATAGACTAGACTGGCCTTAAAGTCAGAGACCTACCTGTATCTGCCTCTAGAGGGTTGGGATTAAAGGTGTGGCTACCACGCCCCATATCTTTTGCTTTTAAAGTTCTTTTTTTGGGGAGCTGGCAAGATAGCTCATCAGATAGAGAGGCCTGACACTAAACCTAGGACAGCCAAGGCTACATAAAGAAACTCTGCCTCAAAAAACCCAAACCAAAACCTAGGAATGGACTGTAGATCCTAGACAAGCATGCAACTGTTGAGCTACATTGCTAGGAACTGCACACACACACACACACACACACACACACACACACACTTGAGGGAGGTTCTTGCTCTGTAACTCTGGTTGGCTGGAAGCTCATCGTGTAGATCAGAGTGGCCTTGATCTTATGACATTCCCCGTGCCTTTATTATGTTTATAGGCATGTGCTACCATTCCTGGTCTGTGTCAGCCCTCAAAAAAAAAAAAAAAAAAAAAAAAAAGAGGTTTAAAACAACCTTGAGATAGGGACTCCCATATAGAACATCAACACTGCAAAGGGCTTCCCTTCACAGAAAAAAGTCTCAGCCTCCTGGGTGTGCCAGATCGAAGCACTTTTTTCTGCTACTTTGCAGCTGTCTCTGTTTTCACCTGCTTGCCTTTTAGGATTCTGCCTTTTCCTCTCTGCCAAATGGAGCCCACCACCTGACTTCCCCAGAAATGACTAGACATCTTCCCTTTAGCTGCATCCTAGAACTACACCACCGTATGGAACCCCTTGGCACAGTTTTAAGTCCTTGATGACAGACAAGGACCTGAGTGACCACCCTGTAGGACTTTCCGGGCATACAATCTCCCCAGAGAAGACCGCAGTGCGTGTAAGCTTAGATGCAGGGAGAGAAACACTGGCAAGGGAGGTTAGATGCCAGGCCTTGTTCAGCTACACTCTCCTAACAACTCTTAGACAGACGCTGCTGACCTTGCTAGTCATCAGTGGCAGTGGACATTCTTGATGCCTAACCCTTGCATGCTTCTGGAAGTGAAGGAGAAACCAGTTCAGGAAGACTTCAAGGTAAGCTGGAAGGCACACTAGACTCACCTCTGGGGGCTGCCTCCATACACAGTGGGCTCCCCGGGCAGAAACTAGCTCTTTCTATATGGATAGTGGGGACAGGGAGAGCATAGCCAAGGTCCTCACTAGAGTCCCTTTTCTCACTAATTTCTCAGGCTTCCCCTTACCTTGGCCCTGACTCCTCCCCTCCCCCCTTTACATCTCCTGCTATTGTCACCATTTAGAAGCCTGATTTCTCATCCCCTGCCAGCCAGGGCCTATTCCAACAGCCTTCTAAAAGTGGCAGCCCATCCATAAGCACAGAGTAAAATAATAAAGGCTTTTGTCTCTTAACCCATGTTCTTGTCACTGATGTTGCAGAAGTGTGTTTATAGAGGCTGAGTGAGAGCAAAGAGGAGGGACTCTGCATTCAACCAGCACTGTTGAAAAACGGGAATGCCTTGTGTTCGACCCTCTCTTTTCCTGGGTGGCTTACTGAAGCTTTAGAACCCTTGAGGAACAAGTAGGCCCAGCCCCCTGAGCTGGAAGGGATGTTGTTAGGCAACCAGGAAATGCGATTGTCATTTAGAGATGGGCTGGGTATCGAGACTGCATGATTGGCAGATAAGAAAAGCACAGCACATATCAACATTTAGATGGAATAGCTTGGAAAACAAGATGCCACCATGAGGTTTTAAGCTGGGGTGGGGTGCAAATGCATTTTTCAGTGTAGGAAGGGCTTCTGGAGCCCCTGTGTTATATATTGGAGGGAGTGCAGGGGGGAGTCTCTATATCTCCATAAGTGGAGAAGCATCCTATGCCTCCATTATTAGTTATTGTAGAAATGAGTGCAAAGCTACCTGCTGTAGCCTCAGTCCTTGAGATAGAATCAAGTCCAACAATCAGGATTCTTCTACCAGTCAGTCAGCACCCACGGCTTTCTGTGCAAACTCTGCAGGCAGCCGGAGAGTGAACAAATAAGGGACAGCTTATTTATTTCATCCACACCCAAGCTTCTGCCCAGTTGCGTTCTGATTTACTATTCACCCTCCTCTCTCCCAACACCAGAGTTTCTCTTCAAGCTCATGTCTGTTCCTGACCTGGAATCTCACTGTAGACAAATAGGATATCACTCACTGAAGAGTTCTCTCATTTCCTCCTACCCCAGGCCCATTCTCCTGACACCCCACCCCATCCCTTCCCACTTTGGTCCACTCCCTCCCTCCCTCCCTCTGATCACTCAATCTGACCCTCACTCTCACTCTTCTTCCCCCACACCACTCCACCCAGCCTTGTCCCTCCCTGACTCACCTCAGGTCCCATTGTCACAAACAAAAATTTCAGCATAACCCTCTCCAACCGGTTTGGCTTAGGTGTGCAGCTTTCCATGGGGACTGAGACCAGTTTAAGTGGATGCTTGGACACATGCAGATAATACCCACATGGACATGGACAGAGGCAGTCCCATGTATATTAGTGACACACAGATGCACCCAAAGGAATGCGTGCTGGTGAGATGTAATTTGTTTTATATATATATATATACACACACACACACATATATATGTCTTCTCCTGATTGAGGGGCCCTTCAGGGCAGGGATCATGTATCCTGTGTCTCTGTTACCTCCCTTGAGCCTGACACAGTGATTTTCATTAAGTGTCTGTTGAATGAATGTGCACCTGCAGTCATGCACAGTAATGCCACACAGACAAATGCATGAGCTAAGGATGCCATCTATCATGGCTTGAATTGTCCCCATTCTTAGAGCTCAGAATGTAGGTGGGAGGAAGGTAGGTAGTGAGGCATGAGGGGAATGGGGAGTCAATGTTGAAGAAAGAATTGAGCTCTGGATATAGGTCTTGAAAGGCTTTCATAACCATTATTTTAGAATTGCCCTTGACCTGAAATATGGCTTCCCTGGGACTTGTCGCAGAAAAGGATAGAAAAGTCTGAGTATAAAGAATATTCCTCGGGAGTGTGATCCACATGAGATGTTCTAAGACTAAGGGACTAAGGGAACAGAGAGGACTTGAAGTTAAATGCTTGTTAGATGAAGAAAAGTAAAAAATCGCTACCTCGGTTACAGGCATGGATGGCTGCCTTATTCTCTCTGGCCAGTGGCACCTGCAACCCCCATTTTAAGGTTGTTTGCTAGGGCCCGACCATATCCATAAAGACATGGGTGTGTTCATTACCTTAATTCTACCTCAGAGAAGTTCCCTTCAGTGTTACCTATGACTAAAGTTGGGGTCCGGCCATCCAGGGCCTCACAGATATTCTGCCTGGTAGCACTTTGAGGGGAAGAGTACATTGTGGATGGAAATGCCAAAGCAGACTGGGTACTGGATTTGTGATCTAGCTGCTTTCCCATCCCCATGCCTCAGTTTCTCCTGTGATTTCCCGTAGCTAGAGGGATGAATCCGTGGGAAGGAAAGAACTCCTGAAAGCATGTGATAGGATCCAAAGTGTGATAATTATAATTATAACACAGGATGCTCCCCCTCCCATCCCCCTGGCCCTACCCCACCCCTGCCACACTGGATCTCAAAGCAGCATCGGGGTGGGGCTGTTCCCCTGGCATAGGTGGGACCTGAGCCTGAAGAGGGGAAGGGGTTTGCCAAGGCGGAGGTGGAGAGAAATTAAGGAGAGTTGGCATCCAGCCTGACCCATGAATCTGCCTCTGACCCGCAGTAAATAGCCCTCAAGGAAGAGGTCACTATTATAACCACTGCTGAGATGTGGGATCCAGAGAGGGGTCTACGGACAGTGTTAGAGGCTAGATTACAACCCAGGTTTGGGATGGTAACATGATCATTTGAGATCTCTGCCTACTGACCCTTCCTCCCATCTTCTCCAAACTGACATTGGTTCATTAAAAAAAAAAAAAAAAAAAAAAAAGCACTTAGTGCACTCAGTTCCCATTAGGGGTTGTGAACTGCCCTAGCTTGGTTGACTGGACAAAATTATAAAACAAGCCCAACTTTCAAGCACTTCACAGAGGACAGCTGCTATCCTTTCCCTCAGCTTAACAAGTTTACTGAATCTCTGTCATGCAACAGGCCTCAATCAATGGCTCTTGAATCAAAGCTTACAATTTAGTTAAGAAGATAAGATGTGCACAAATTATGAGTGCACAAGCTATAATAAAGAGACTAGCAAGAACAGAGGAAGAAGAGAAGAAAGGTTAATTCCAAGTAGGAGGAGCTGAGAAGGCTTCTTGGGAGATGTGGCCTTTGAGGTCCATTTTGAGAGATGAGCAAGATTGACAAGTAAGGGGACTGAGGAAGTAGCTCCGTGGTAGAGAGCTTGTATGCACATAGCGCTGGCTCTAGGCCTCCACCTAGAAAACAAACAACAAACAAAAACCCTGAACAGGTACAGTTGGCGAAACAGTGATGGAAAACCGTCTGTATCAATAACCTCCACCATTACTGATACTTCATTCTTCCTTTCTGTGTTTCTGGACATGAGATCTATGTAACTTCTATATTTTCTTTTCCCGAGTATTTCTCCACATGTATGTGCCTTTTGAAAATTATTGATGTTGTTGCTGTTTAAGGTAGATCCTCATATAGCCCGGGATAACCCAGAATTCTATGTAGCCAAACTGTCTTAGAAATCTTGATGCTCCTGCCTTCACCTCCCAAGAGCTGGAACCACAGATATGCACTAGCATGTCTGGCTTTTACCTGTCTTTGAAATTGCAGTCTGCCTCTGTCTTTCAGGGCCTTGATATGTACCTCTTCTTCTGGTTCCCCAGCTGTCACTGGGTGGTTACTTTTATCCACCTAAATTGGAAATGTGTGATCAGATGAGTGTAAGTGTTGTAAGGATGCAAGGATAGAGTGAAATCAATATCGTCCTTGCAAAGTCCAGGCTCGTCATCCTCCCCATGACCATAGAGAAGAAAGAAAGCCCCTCCCTAGGCTGTGCTAATGCACTTTTAAAACTCCTGATCAGGTATCAAGTTGTGGAGAGAGAGTTCTGAGAGGAAAACCAGGAATCCACAGGGCCAATTCCCTGGTCAGTCCCTCTGCCTCTCCTGTGCAGGGATGGACCAGAGGAAAGCAGTCAAGTTCTTTCCCAGGAGGTCTCTGAACTAGCTTTCTGCTTCAAGGCAAACTTGACTGTCCTCTAGTAAGTCCCTCCACCCATTTAGGCCTTCGGAACGATGAGGTAGGGACCGCCTCAGTTCTCTGATTCTGCAGCACCAAAGCTGGGCCCTTTAGGAGTTTGAGGAACTTGTCAAGAACCCCAGGAAACAGCTGAGCTGGCTGTCATATGAGAGGGGTTCGTTCCTTTTCACACACATCTGGTGCTTCCCTCTCTAAGACACCCAGGGCCCTGTCATCGCCCCGTCCATTCCCTCACAGGTAAAAACCCCTGTTGCAAATGAGATCCCACTGCCCGCACCCAGATCTTCCCTTCTCCCCTCCCTCCCTGGCGCCCATTAGCTAGCCCAGGCCGTGGGGGCGGTGGCTGCTGAGTCTCCTCTCTGTGCCAGGCCCGGCCCCCGGAGACGCACCTGTTCTGACCTGCTTAGCAGGTTCCCAGGTTTCTGCCTTCGTTGTTGGCCACGGCGTGGGAAGCAGCTCTGGGGGAGCTCAGGGCTCCCGATCACGGCTTCTTGGGGGTAGCCACGGCTGGGTGGGTAGAACTGGGGCCTGGGTCTCCTAGTGGAGACCAAGTGGGGCAGACAGGTACGTCAGTGTCTGGAGACTCCTGACTTCCTGCCTTCTGGGTCAGAGCTTTACCCAGCTCCAGAACCGGCTCCCAGGGAGAACTCGGTGGAACTTCAGAGTCACTAGGCAGGTCTGCCTTTCAGCCAATGCCCCTGTCCCTGGGAGCCGAGATGTGGGGCCCTGAAGCCTGGCTGCTGCTGCTGTTCCTGGCGTCGCTTACAGGTAGGACTTGCCTGAACCATCAGGACTCTTGCTTCTGAGCCCTGCCTGGCAGAGACAGGCACACAAATACACACACAAATACATACATACATACACACACACACACACACACACACACACACACAAATGCAAACTCACACACGAACCTACCACATATTCAAACATTCCCTTTCCTTGGACTCTGAACAAAGAAGACCATCTCTTTCTCCTGTTCATTCCACTTGCCATCAGTGCCCTCAGAAGAACCAATGCAGCTCTTTCTTCTAAAGTCCCCTCTCTGCCCCAAGGCCAAGCCCCTAATGTCTGTAGTCCCTAACTACCTCTGCTTCACACACACACACACACACACACACACACACACACACACACACACACAACGCAGGTGGGCTGAAAAGTGGAACCCAAAGACCCTGCTCATCCCAGGGCTTTTTGAAGGCCTTGTGGCCTACCCACTCGGCTTCAGAACTGCCTCAGTGTTCACAAGGAGCAGGAAACCTGGTGCCTGGAGAATGGGTGGGCATTTCTGCCTCCTTCTTCTCTCATGATAATATTCTGAGCAGCTCCTTGAGGGATTACAGGGAAGCCAAGACAGTCCTCTCACCCTAGACCCTTTCCTTCCCTGGCATACACACTAATAGGTGGAGAATAATCCTATGTGTTTCCTACACGATTAGGGGGAGGTTAGAAGGTAAAGGGCCTTCTAGCTGGAATATGACCCATTTATTTATTTATTTATTTATTTATTTATTTATTTATTATCGCTCCACTTCCTCTGTTGGATGCCTATACAATACTTATACTTTCTGCCTGCCTAATATATTCAGAACATATATAAATCATCAGAGTGCATCATTTTCAGGGCGAGAGGGAGAGAATATGCACACAAGGAGACCACAGTAGAATGCCATTGGCTGTTACTGGGGAATGAGTAACCGAAGACTCTTTTTCCTTAGTAAGTCAGGGCCCTGTCTGCACAGCCCAAGAAACAGTAGCAAGGGATAGTCAGTTGTCCAGCAGCACTGGGTGACTCTCTCTCCCAACCTCCAATCTCAGCTAAAGAGCAAGAGTCGAACCCCATGTAGTTGACGGAACTAACAGTATTCAAGGTTGTCCTTACTCTGGTCTTATAACAGAATAATGGTCCACTCTCTAATCTCGGAGTTCTAAATTCCAACCTCTGCCACTACCATCCAACCCCCAACCCCTACTCTTAATTCCCATCTTCCAGAAAGTCCTTTGCACTTGCTTAAACTGAGAGGGCGGGGCCTCCTGCTGGGCCAGGGAACCCAACAGACACTTTCCTATAGAATCTACCTGAAGAATGGAGTCATGCTGTCTCAGGACTTGAGTAGTATCAAAGAGATCACTACTCCAACTCTTTCATTTTACAGATAGGAAAACTGAGAGAAACAGATAGTCAGGCGAGATCTATAAGATTATTTTGTGTAAGAAGCAGAATCAGGGTTAGTGTCTTGGTCACCTGACTCCTTGTTGAAAAAAAAAAAAGAAAAAAGAATATCATAGTTGAGTGCTTATGGTACTTGATGTTGGCAAAACAATGGTAAAGCTACTATCCCTGCCTTCCTTTTCCATGATGCAAATTGTTCTTTCTAATAGAAGCCCAGAGAAGAGGGAAAGAACTCCTGGCTAGAAAATTACCCTAGACTTCACAGAGGTCTGAGAGAAGCTATGCCATGGAGAAAGGCTGACTCCAGGATTGCCCAGGAAGCTAGTAACTAATCGGATGTCACTGTACTTCTGCTGCCATGACCTGCACAGAGATGAAGGCTATCCCCAGTGATCCCTGGAAACTTGGACTCTGGGGTCACAGCCCAAGGGTTAGACAGCCCCATCCCCTTCATTCCGGCTCTCCTTTGTGTATGTGTAGGTGTCTCTCTAATGGCCCTAGAAACCTAGAATAATTTTTGTCTCCAAACACCCCTCAGGTTTGGAAATCAAGAGCCTTGGGTTGTGATCCCATTTCTTCCATTAATTTGTTAGGTATTTTGAACAGCTGAGCAACTGCTTCAGGAGACCGAGAAGTACTGGATGGTCTCTGCAGACCTTCTAGACTCTGAAATAGTAGGCCTCCATGATTGGTTGTCCAGCTTGAAGTGGGGTGTTTGTGGTGTTGGAAGAAGTGATCAGTCTCCCTGTGGCTGGCTGAAAGGACTCAAGGATACTACCTTCCTGGTTCAATTGCAAAGTGACACCTGCCCCTTAACTCCAGGGCCATTAGAGCACTGAGCCCTAGGGCCCTGCCCCACCCCTGACAGGGAGAGGAGCCCAGGCTTGGGAGGCACCTCCAACACCACAGCTCTTTGTTTCTCCTTAATGGGATGAGTTTCCGGGTGAGGTCTCATCCCTCCTCCTTCCCCCATCTTTTGCCTTGGGGCTGAGGGGCCTGAATCTGCAAACTTACTTTCCAATAGGATCCCAGTCTCTAGCTCTTCAGGTCCTGCAGGGCCTGGGAATAAGCTATTCTGTGAGTTCTAAATTCTCTTCCGAAGGTTAGGATCAACTTTCTGTTGAGATTAATTTCCTAGAAAGGGAGGGGCCCCATCCCTGCTTTTCTACTCCTGATGACAGAGGTGGGCAGGCCCTTTCCTGTAGGACCTACCCAAACCCAGAGAAGCCAGAAAGGGAGGTTTGCTTCCCTATCCGAATGTGGAGAACTAGGAGAATCCCAGGGAAGCCCTTGGCCCCAGTGACCCTGGTCTCATCCTAGTGTTTTGTGATGGTGCTTGAGGCTGGGGTGGAGAGACCCAAGTTTAGTGTGCACAGTGCCATTTTCTAGAGCATCATAACCTCAGAATCCAGGGATCCTCTGGCAAAGTGAATGGGTACCAGCCAGAGAGGAGCAAGCTCTGTAAGGAGAGAATAGCTGTGTAATCTGGTCTCCAAAACTTACACTGATCCAAAAGATGGGGCAAGGCAAGGATGGAGGCAGAAAGTGGGCAACCAAGTCAGGAGTACAGAGCCTAGAGGAGCTTTGGAGTCTACATCTGGGCACAGAATCTAAAGCAATTCAGTTTTAAATGGGGAGTCACCCACCTGCTTTCTGGAGGAGAATGGCAACACCATAACTCCATTCTTTCACTGGAACGGGCATCAACATGGTGCCTGTGGTCTGAGAGGAGCTGTTCCCATGGCTTTCTGTGCCACCCCCAGCATGCCTCTCTAAAAGTGTTCTGAAGGCTAAGTAAGGTTGGGGCTGTGATGTGGAATGAGGCAGAGCTAGCCGCAATGGAAGAGAGGGTAGGTAGAATGGGGGGGGGGCTAGATCTCAGGAGTTTGAGAGCAGTTGAATTCTAGGTCTCCCACCCACAGTGGTGACTCAGCAGGGCTCAGACTCTGGCTCCGGGGGGTTTAGGGGACTTATCTGTGCTGAGAGCTGTGTCTAAGGCAGAGTTGGCTGCCTCATGAACTGTCCTCCCTGTTGTTCTGTGGGTGGGCGCTTTGCCCAGCTTGGGAAGCTCTCCTTAAGCTGGAGGGCTTAGGAAAATTGGGGGGTAAATGAGGGAGATGGGTGAAGGCGGAGGGAAAGCTTTTGGTTTCCAAAGTTCCTCAATTCCAAGGCCAAGGTTATGAACAGAGGAAGGACCAAAATAGTTTTGCTTTGTTTATGTCACCTGTTCTGGGTGGATGGGGGTCTAGATGCTTCCCTCTCATGTCTTTTCTTACCTCAAACTAACACATCTATGGCAACCTTCTCTGGTGAAGCTGGTGAAGGGAGGCAAGAGTTAACAAAAAAGAATGAGACCCTAGACAGCTTGGACCCTCCCCCTAGCCCCAGGCAGCACCCCCCCCCCAGCTGCTTCCCACCAAACCTGCACCAGACAGCTCTTACCCCAGGCCTAGAGCCAGAGCTGGTTTTTCTGGTGGTAGCAAGAAGCAAAGCCCTGACAGAGATTCCCAGGGAAAAAAAAAAAGTCTCTGCTTGGGGGGCCAGAAGTACTGGGGGGCCCAGGGGTGTGGCCATAGGGGATAAAAAGGGTGGGAGTCTCTTTGTAGGAACCCAAAGAGCAAGAGAGGGAACCTTTGTTTTGTTTGTCAGGGAGTCTTGGTGGCAATTTCCCATCACCTGGAGGAACAGTGACCTCATCTCTGGTTACCTCCACCTTGTGCCTGAGATGAATCTGCCCTGAAGTCTTGGGGTGAGATGGTGAGGGATGCCAGGGGCAACATTAGAATGGGCAGAAGCCCAGAGCTACACACTGACCAAAAGCAGCTGAGCCAAACATACTGAAGCCAAGATAAACGATATGAAAATATTTACTATGTGTGTGGAGTTCCACAGGATGGGAATGTGGACTGTGTGTTCAGAGGGTGCATGCATATATGTTTCATATGCTAACACATAGTTCTCCCCTCTGGGTATAGAAAAGTTAGCATGTATATTTCCCCTGAAGAGAGATGTGAACACATATGTGTATGAAGTTCTTGCAAGAAAATAGCTTCTTACGCACATGAACTAGAAAAACTGGCCTAGCCCTCATCCAAAGATACCAAGCATTCAGACACAGAAGACTCAGCAGTTACTGATTTTGTGTCACATAAACATCTCTAGGGGAACCCCATGTGTGTATACCCTTTTATGGACCAGCAGAAGATGCCAATGGAGAAGAGTCCCTCAAAAGAAAAGATGTTGCTCTCAAATATGTTGCTATGGCTGAGTACCTGCAAGGGTCAGCCTCAGTCTCCCCTTTTGAGCTCAGAGGCCAAGTCTTACACAAAAAGGAAAGTTGGATCCAACGAACAGAGTAGGGT